TGTGACGTGAAGCTGGTATGAGGAGACAAGAGATCCCTAATGTGTTACGTAACAATGGGCTTAGATCCTCAAATTCATTTTGTTTAAGACACAAGCTGCCAAGGCAGAAAGAGACTGTGCCTTTCCTATTTCAGCTACCACATCCATCCAAATAGACATGTTCATTGCCGAATCTGTATTCCGTTTTCATTAGGAATTAGTTGTCTGTGTTTGTAACATATATTGCTCACAGTATTGTTACAACATCAAACAAGCTTTCAACCGCTGCACGTGTTTTCAGCTGCTGTAATGAAGAGGGCATGAGAGAGTTGCTTCAGATTTTTCTTTAATGAAAATAATCTCAGAAACTTTCAATAAGCTCTTTGTTATCTATCCTGCTTCACAGACAGCTATGCAGGGGTGCTGTTTTCCACCTCATATGAAGTGTTTTCTTAGGTTAATGACTCTGAGTATTTAAAACCAGAGCAATTGTATTAAGTGTTTTGTTGTAGCAGCAGCAGGAGCCTCATTGAGTTAAATTGGTTTCGCTACATTATCTATTGGATCAGCAAACCAGTGAAGAACTGATGTGAGAGCTTTAACTGTGAGAGCATTTAAAAATGCTTTCATTTTTACCCAGAAACAGGACAGACATTTCTGTACATTAACCTCTTAATAATGCTGTCACTGCCAGCATTACTTCCTAGCAAATCACGCAGTATCTTGCTCCTCTTCATCTTGTGCTGATTCTTTTCAATCTCTTGAGGCAGCAACAGCTATTTTTTAACATAAATACAGTAGTCTGCATAAGTGCCCCCCAGAAAGCACTCATGAATACAGAATGGTACTTCCTTTTCTGTTGCCAAGGCCAAACTAGAGTTTTACAAGTCCTTGGGCACCCAATAGGAGGATTTCATTATGGGATGAAATCTCTGAGGTTATTTTGATTTTCCTTCTAATGCATTTTATCTTCCAGTTCAATAGTTGGAATGTCTATTTTGTCCATTTATAGAAGTTCCAATTTCCGTATATCTACATTTTATCAACACTTCACATTTAGAATGATTACATTAACACATACCCCACTCCTTTTCTCACAGACATGCCAGTCCATAGAGCAGTACTCTAAATTGCTGAAAGGAATATGAATGCTTTCAGGTACAGCAGAGAAAAAGTGCCTTCTGATCTGTCACATACTGGATTTGTTGGGGTTTTTTCCCCTCTCTTTGATGCTAATACAGCCCATCCGAAGGCAGCATTTAACTGACATCAAATTTAGTTTATTTCTGTTTATTATAATGAAATTAGGGTTTAATAGGGCATTGCTTGGATGTTAATACATCTAAAGTATTAATGTCTGATGATTTTTAAGTATGATGATTTTTTAAATGAAAAATAAAAGAAGTTAAGCACACACAAAAGTGCAGAAGATTCAAATGTATGGAAACCTCCAGTCATTACACCATACTCCTGTACTGAAGTTTCTCCTTAAAAAGCATTTGAATGGCATCTGATTTTTCTATTTCTGGCTCTGGAAACAGATTTAAGAAAATCCTACTCTTGATGGTGGAGGTATTTTGTCTTGTGCTACTGCAAGTGCAGTAACAGTAGCTGAGACACCTCTCCTCCCCTCTGAGTCACCTTGTTCCTGGAATGGACACAACAGCCATATGTATGCTTGCAGTGCATGTTTCTGACTCCCTGCAGTGTTTTGAAGTGGTTATTTTCCCTTTACTTATGCTTCTGTCTACAACATTGTGATAGTCTAGCATTCTGGCTTAGGTTTTTTTGAGGAACATCTTGCTGCCATCTTTTACTTTGATCAGTCACAGCTAAGGTGTGACTTGAAGATCTGCAGTCAAACTACAGAAAACATTTGTTGACTAAATCGTTTGAAGAAGTCAGCAGGGCATGCAGCCTATGACTGCTTCCCAGTCATAGGAGGAGCAACTGATTTTGTCCAATAACCTCATGTGGTTATTCAATTGACTTTAGTGCAAGGAGTTATGTCAGGTGCACAGTTACAAACTATTACTGCTGAAGTAATTAGATTAGACATTGCATTTACATGTAATCTGCAGCTACCTTCTTGCTAATTACTTGAAATAACAAGCCACTGCACACTAGAGGGACTAGGTCAGTGCTTTCTTCTCTGCTCTTCAGTAACTGCAATTCCAAAATAATGGATTGTTTTCTTATGATTGATTCACACTACACAAGAACTTGCTGTGAGTATTTCAGCTGGATTTAGTCAGTAATTTCACTCTTAGCAGCAGATACTGACCCTGACAGGCAATGTAATAAACTAATACCTAGAGAAACCAGCAGGATACCAAAAGGTTAGACTCTGCTTTCACAGCAGTAGTTAATCTATTCATTTTAAACCAAAGAGTATTTCTGGTTTAGGCAAGTGTAACAGAGAAGAATAAGGCACTATGGCCTTTCTAGAGAGTGTAGTACTGTTGTGGTGATAAGTGTTCAAAGTGCTGAGCAGAATATTTCACACTTGCCTATGAAAGTGCGTCATCCAAGAGTTACATTTAAACTTCAGATGCTTCTGAGGCCAGATAAGATTTATATCAGACGTGAATTGAAAAAGGTCACTTTAAGCTGTAAGGAGAAGTAGAAGGGATTTAAGATAGGACCTGACCCCGGATCATGGAAAAAGCAGCTACTTAGTAAAGAAAAGGCGTTGTAAAGTCATGCTGCTGGTGGTTTTATTCCACTTTGCTCTTAATGGTTATATAAAACAGCACAAATGATCTAGAAGACAGCAAGAAGGTTGAACTTCTTTGAGGGAGAAAGTGATTAAGTCCAAAAACATACTTAGGAAAAAAATGGTGTATTTCTCTAATGTAGCATTTCATAAACATCAGGAACAAACACCAAGAAAAATACAATCCAAAGAGGAGAAGCAGGAAGAAAAAAGAAGCTTGATTACCTGCATGTATTGAAGGACATGCAGAATTTCATTAGCTTTCTGGATAAGGTGAAATTTGGGCGATGCTTTGCTTTAATTCAGTATGTGAGAATCTTCGATACTATGGTAAATAGCACCATGTAAGTACTAGTTGGATGCACTTACCTACTTGGAGAAGAGTTGTCTCTCCTGAAGGGTTTTTATTCTGTAAAACTCAAAGATATAGGAAAGAAATCAGTATCATTATATCAGTTTTGCAGAGGATGCAGTGATATGACAGAACTGAGATTCCCCAATAAGTTAGTGGCAAGATCTGGGACCAGAATCCAGGTGTCTATGTCCAGGGCTAGACTGGTGTGAATTTTGTGGAACAACTCCAGTTTGCACTTGCCAGCACACTGTTGGCAGGTAGGTTTCCATTACAACAGAAACTAAAGATTGAGGTGAACCTAACCCTGACTTAGATGGGAGTATATTTTCTATTTTCACTCAGTTCAGGACCACTACTTTTTCTTCAAAGCATTCTGTTACTTCGTGACATTGAACAAATCTTATTTTAGATTATAATCTGTGTTTAAATGCTCTGTCTTTCAGTGCTGGTCATACGAAATCAAACCATATGTCACAGATAAGTAAGGCAGGAGGAACAGAGGCACACTCCACTGTGATCAAATGCTTGTTTCATCCTTATTGCAATTATTAATCATCAGCCACTGCATTCGAGATCCCCATCTTCAAAGACCAGCATAGCTCTTCTCTTATCTACATCTTTTGTCTCGTTTAATCTCACACCTCCCCATGCTCCCTTTCATCGTAGCTTTTAGCCACTTGCTCTGCTTCCTTCTTTCCCTTTCTCTCTCACTTCGTATTTTCTTTTGTGTCAGTCTCGATATTTAAAACAACATTTCACTTTCAAGGCGACAAAATCCTCAGAAAAGTTTCCCTTTTGAAGTGTCTTACATTGGTTTCCTACACTAACAATATTTTACTTGTTTTAAATCATATCCCAAAATATTTACTGTGGAGTTTTTTGAATGTATGTGAAGCTGGTGTTTGTTGTGGATACTGTATTCATTTGCTGAGTTCCCTGGAATTATTGACAGAACAAAGTGTTATTTTGCATGAGTGGGGTGAGAGGCTCTAATCCTGATTTAAGAAGTGTGTGCATGAGTACCCACAAATTTCACTGTCAAATAGTGGAAGTGAAGAGGCCTAACATATTAGATCAGCCTCTGAATAAAAATGGCAAAAATATCCAAAGCAACGCAGTAACTCAGAGCCAGTTATGACATTTTTTTACTTCACTCAGCTATTTAGGGACAGATGCAAAAAGGATATTTTCAGAGGCACACATGGTAGACTCTCACTGAAAATTGACAGAATGAATTGTAAAGCCCTTCTTGAAAATGGAGTCAGAGTTCCTTCATTATTGAGCTGCTTTAAAATTTTTCCCAATCCAACGTAGGAAACCTGAGTTTTCCCTGTGTTTCTAGATCACTTTTATCTATTTTGAGGCCTACTAAACTAATAAACTTCACTGTACTTAAGTGTTTAAACTTCCATTAGCTTAGATCTGGAATGTAATGCAGTCATTATTAACAATTCAGTAGAATCTTATGTAGTATATTTTATTTCATGCTGTCACTAAGAGTATTGAAATGTTTTCAATACTTTATCCAAGACAAATAATAATTTAAGAAAAAGCCCCCACTCTCCTCTATTCCCTTTTTCTTTGTTCATGAGATTTTTATGATTAAAACCTTCATCACTACTGTTAAACCTGGACCACCCCACAGAAGGACAGATGCAGAAAATTACTCCTGTATGGAAGTGAGGAATTAGCTCTTCCATTACAAAAAAGGAAAGGACCTGAGTATGAAAAGCCAAATCTTCATTACTGATCAACCCTTAAAGTGGAGGAAACCCATGGTAATTTATGATTTAAGCTTTTGCTGTAAATATTTACATATGAAAAATTGTCTCAGGGTAATCCAGGAAATTAGGAGCTGGAATTGTTTGGCAGAGTACAGTTATTACTGTCTCAAACCAGATGGGTAATAAATTGCTGGTTTTAGTAGGAATTGATAGCAGGACTTTCTTGACTTTAGAAGTACCTCAAGCTCTATTGAGAATAGATAGATCCATACAGTTTCTGCAAGGGCTGTTTAGTCCGTAGGCATTGTTCAATTTGTAGCTTTTCACATTGTGTATGCAACCCAGTATATGACATTGACTGCTGCAAAGGCTGCTGGGAACACAGCTCTGGCATATATATCAATGGTATCGGCATCAATGGGCTTAAAGAGGGACTTCAGACCACTCTTCTTATCCAGTTTCATTATTTGCCGCTGTTTTGTCTCTCCAGTTTCTATTTCTATTGTGCCATAAGATCCAGGCAGGCTTCTGGGAATTCGGTGCTGCCTGTTGGAAATGGCCAGTTCCTGACTCACACCAGCTATGGAAAGGGAAAACAGAACAATGGCATTCTTCACGTTTATCTGCAAAGGAAAGAGGAGAACCTATAATAGCAATTTATAGGGCAAAGGTAGTTCATACAAACTAGACATGATACTGAGATGGTGAAATACCTGTGAGATCCATAGGTGCTGAATGGTATTTATTATAAATCCCAGCCTGGTTTGGGTTGGAAGGGACCTTAAATCTCACCCAGTTCCAACCCCCTGCCACAGGCAGGGACACCTTCCAGTAGACCAGGTTGCTCACTTGCTTTGGCAGAAGGATCACTGAAAGACTCTGGGCTACAATGTTTAAATTCTGGTTATAATTTTACATGTTCAAAATTATCAAGGCACCATTGAGACAACATGCTTAGGCCTTCCTGACTCAGAACAATTGACTGACTTCAAGGACACATCCCATTGTGTGGCCAAAGCCCACAGGCAGTTCTCAGGCTCTTGTCAAAGCTGAGACAACATAGAGTTGGGACAGAAAATCAATATGGGTCAGTCATATCTGCTACAGCTTAATAAAACGAAGTAATAAATAATCATAAATAATACCCAAGGTGCCAGAGAGTTCTAAAATATGTAGGCATGGACTTCAAATTTTGAATTGTCAAAAAATAGTTCCTTAATCAGTTCCCCTGTACTTCATCACTAACAGGCATATATGTACGTGAAGAAAGCAGCAAAGCACATCTGGAGCTTCTGGAAAAAATCTCATCTATGTCCTCCTTTGTTCAGCTTCACTGGGCTTCACACCTACATGACTTGGATCCATGCTCGTTTCACCTGTATTTACCTTATGCAGCTTGGGTGTAACAAATGTAATTTCCAGAGGACAATGTTGAAGACTATAGAGTCTTTTGCAAAGTTACTCATAATATTACACTTACTGACCTCTGCACTCTGCCTTCTTGCCTTTAGTTTGTTCTTTTGCTTTTTCATATAGTCAGCATTGAAATGTGCAAACGCGTATTCGACCAGTGCAGCGAAGACAAACACATAGCAAATCCAGAAGTAAACATCAAGTGCCTTGATGGCAGATGCTCGTGGAAGTGAAGATCGGGCACTGACCATCAATGTAGTCATAGTGAGAACAGTAGTTATACCTGCAGTCAGCGTGAAAAATTTTACTTTAGGTTTCACAGTGTACATTATAACAAGTGTATTTACTAATCTGAAGCTGAGGAATATTTTCACGGTAGAAGCCCCTTAACATTGTGGCTTCTGATTTTCAAAACGGGAGGTCATAAAAAACTGCCTTGGTATGACTAAGGCAGCTTTGCACACGTTATTCTTGGTTTTGTTTTAGATCAGGACAAACAAAACCAGAATTAACTCTCAAAAACTCTTGCATCTGACAACCCTGAGTCAGGCAAACAGATCCACAAGCTTTAAGAACATTTTTTTGTCACTGTCCCAGTTCCTTCAAATCAATTCTTTCATACATGTGCCTCACACTCACTGTTGCTTTTAACCCTCTGTAGGTGGTTATCTTCTGTTCTTTACTGAGGCAGCTACTCTGATTGCATGACAAAAATTAGAACATGAGGGAAATCTTTTAAAGCACCATCTCTTCTGCAGGTGTAAACATAGTATACATAAATGCACCTTCATGGAAAATAAAGATTATTAGAGATAATTATAACTTGAGCATACCCTTCCTTGTTAGTTTCCCAAACTCTGTTTTACCTAATGACACTCGGGCAGGCACAGCAGACTGACTGATCCAGAAGGACACCCAGGACATGGCCACGAGTAAGATGGAAGGAACATAAGACTGAATGATGTAAACGCCTCGATTTCGGCGAAGGTGGAAGTGGAGACTGAGCCTGGGAAACTGACCTGCTGAAAAAAGAGCACAGAGACACTGTGTGAACTACAGTTAGGCTGATACTCAAAATAACATCTCCTGTAATGACACAGATGTACATTCTTAAACAGCTTTTGGACAAGGATCACAAAAAGCTTTTTTAAATACTGTTCAATTAGGTTTCATAAACCCTGCATGAGGTACTACAGTTCTCATCAGCTAAGAATAGGTGAAATGTTTTGTCTCAGGTCATGTCAATGCCAACTCAGAAAATATGAGTCTTCTCAAGTAACAGTATTGCTTCAAAATGTTGTACTGTCTTATCATCTGCTGTAGAAAGTCCTCCAGACACTAAATTTAGATTTTTAAAAGGGCAAGTTAATTTCAAACTCAAAAAAGAGCTTAGAGGAGATGTGCAGCATAAATGAGAATCTGAATACATGAAAGAGTAAGAAATTACTCCAACCTTATACAAACATTGCAATAAACCCAGTGCTACGCATACACACCACTGACTTCTACTGCACAGAATTAGTGTGATCTGAGTGTACATCATAAGCTTCATAACATAAGGGCTGATGGAAAATTTTCTTCATCGGAAGTTGCAAATTAGGTCAAGAAAATGCGAGCAATACCTCGAGTGGTTTTATCCAGTGCTGTCTGCGTGCTGCAAGCAGGATTTTGTCAGACATACAGAGCTAAAGTACGTAATATGCTACAGCAGGTACCTGAAGGCTCAGAAAAGGTTGGCATTTTTTACAAGTGTAAGTTGAAGAAAATTCTTATCAAAAACCTGGCAGGTTCTTAAATTAATAAATTAAGAAGCAGGATTTTCTATTATAGACACAGGTTTCCCTGTTCAGGAAGAAGTCAGATACTGTCCCTGAGCTGAAGACAGATCCTGTTACCAGATTTGAAGTTCATAATTTCTGTTGTGAACTGGTAGCTGGTAATTGTGAACTGAGCAAGCTGCAGCTTATCCAGCCCATGGATCTCCTCCTGGTTTTCTGACCAGTGATAGACAATGTCCTCTGAAGAGTAGCCATCTGCAAAAAGAAACCTGAATAAACACTAGGTTTAAGGAAGAAATATAAGCAAATATAAGCACTTGGAGGACTCATAGTGGAAGTCTTCTAATTCCTCTGCTGTGCTGATTTCCATCCGTCCTATTGCAAACATGCTGTGATTCAGTCTGGGTAATTCACTGTCCTGGCAGCATCAATGTTGCCAGTGTCACATTGGGGTATTTTTCCTACAGGGAGAGTAATTCAAGTTGATTCACGCTGACTAGCAATGTGTGGCATGGCACAAGGCAGTGCCATGAGAAATAGTCAAATTATCTCTCAAAAAGATCATTGCGTACTCAAAGTCAAGTTACTCTTGCTGTTGTTACTCCATCTAGCTAACTTACCCCTGCACTGGGCTTGGATCTCAGAGGCACAGAAATTTCTGATCGTAAAAGAAAATAACTCCCAAATCTGATCTATCTATGCCTATCCTACTGAAGACAGATCAGGTTGCAATTTTGTATGGCAAATCTATCTCCAAGATCACACATTGCTTTAACAAGATAGGTACTCTGTACCAGTCAGGCAGCACTGGGGAAACAGATTTCCTTTGTCAGTGATTCCCCAGTGTCCTTAAAAAGTATGTGTCCAGTCGGGTTTGTATCAACCCTTGCAAGCCCTGCAGTGCTTTTACAAATAGACACTGCACAAGGTACATACTGAATTGTTCATATGAATCCCCACTCTTTGAAACAACTGTTAGGGTCTCCCCTGGGCTTAAAGCAATTTAATAAGAAAACAATGTTTTATGCCAACAGCCATGTGTTGGTTTTCTGTCAGTTCTCCAAACAGCTTTTGAAATTCATATTTTCCCAGCCAAAATGACAAAAAGGTAAAGGTTTCAAATTCTTGATTCTTGAAATTCTAGATTCTTAAAGTTTTGTAAGAGATAGTGTGTGGAGAATGGAAAAGTCAAGTTTGTGCAGCCAGTTAGAGAGCAGCAGTAGATCTCAGCCCCATGCCTATTCTGAGATGCATCTGCTTGACATTCACCATGTAGATCAGCCTGTTAATGACTGCAGCTGGGCATGGGTGGCAGCTGAAAGGTAACTACCAGGGAAAGGTACAGGGCACCAGGGACATGGGAGAAGGAGGAATACGTATGAGGGAACTTACATGATATGCAAATCCACAGGAAACTGAGCTTTGCTAGTTTCACTGTTAATCAAAAACTTACTACTAAAACATTCATTTGTTTAAGAGGCTTTATTTCTGCATGATTGTTTGACTGAAATCAACCCCCTCATATTCAATTTAAAAATTCAAGTACCACCAAAACTCCCTGCAGAATGTGCTGGGAGAGAGATTCAGTTGCTGGTACAGTGTCTGCTGCCTCTGCATTTGGTGATTACATAAGTAAAACTGTAGATTGCTATTTTTGACTGGAAAAATGGTATCGTGGTTCATTGCCTAGAAAACAAAGTCAGTGTTCAAAAGGAAAAAGATGAACTTGCATCAATAGGCCAGTGGATCTGCTCAGAAACTGCTATTCACAAATCTCTGGAACCCTCAGGACCTGGAGACTCCTTGATATAAAATCCACAAAAGGCAGGACTGTAGGTTGTTCATCTTCACTAAGTTAAATCCTTCAGTGCTGAACTGAATCTGAGCTGAACTGGTATTGAAAAGTCCACAATCTAATGCCCAACACAGAATGAAGGGATTCCTATTTGTACCCATTATTTCTAAATCCTAAGGCACTCCTGACATTTCGTGGACTAAAGCAGAATCATTCCAGCAAACTGCAGCAAGCCAAGCACCATATACACAGGCTTTACACAAAATACAAGTTATATGAAACACTGTACTCAGCCCTTACAGCTCTCCAAATCCAGCATGCATTCTTGCTCATCCATCGGATACTTGGAAAGGTCCATGTCACAGGCCACTGTTGAGGTAATCCTGTTCCAAGCAACATGAACACCAGTTAGATGCATTCAGATAGACATGTCTAATGTCAGAGGACACTTTAGCTATTTCTGACTAGGAAAAGGACTTTTCTGAGTCATATTTACTCCCTTCCACTGTCCCCAAGATCACTACAAATACTTTAAGGGTGACTTTGGACTTACAGTTTCAGAACTGCACACTCATAATTTTTTAGAAGATTACATAATTAACTTTAAACATAGTTATTGAATTCCGGGAAAAACACCCTTCCAACGTGAGGAAATACTACTTTTTCTGTTTGAAAGATGGGGAAGTTGAGCCTAAGTCAGGCTTATAGTTCCCTTGGAAAATAGTGAGAGTGGAGATCATAATCTTTGCCCTGTATGGAGCATATTGCCCACTGACTCAATAGTTATGAGGTGCTTATCTCCCATTAAGGACATTCTGAAAGCGATCACTGATGATGCGATGTTGCCAAAGACACCTTCCTGGCAGTGTAATCCTTGAAAAGCAAACGGATCTCTGGTAGGAGTCACCAGTACTTTCTTCCATGTTACATTAATAATTATTTCAAGAAATCATCCTTGGAAAACCGAGTGACTACTTTATAGTCTGTCTAAAAAGCTAATCCATGATAGAGTTCACTTGCACTCTTTCTCACTCACCTGATGCTGTATAAAATGACTCCATCTGGCTGGAGCCTGATCAGTTTGTTTTCTACTGTCACATCATGGAACCAGGCAGACTTGGCATTTACTATGAAAGTATCCGGCAGCCAGAGCTTGTCCACAAAGCGGCTGTCCAGGCCCAGTGTCTCATTGGTGTGGTTGTAGGACAGGCGGTCGTCTCGCCAGCTCTGGTGCAGGAATACTGTCATGGTATATTCCTGCGAGAAGAGAAATCCCGATCAAAAAGTGATGCTAAACAAACACAATTTGTTTATGTCTTGAGACATAATGGTAATGTCTCAATGGTAATGTCCTGGGACTTGGTCAAAAATTATTGTATTAGCCTAGAAATGTAGTAACTGCTTCCAATGCGAATAAGTATTTTTATACTCAGTCAACCATAGAGCTGCCCAAGTATTTTAATTTCTGTCATATGCGTCTACCACGGATAAACCCAAGATATCAAAAAAATGATTCGATGTCAATGTCACATGTAACATGTTGGATGAGTTGCATATGTCCTAATGAAGAAAATCAGTTTATGTATTTCCACAAGTGCAACTTTTGTTTTTGAAAGCAAAACTAAAAAAAAAACCAGGTGAAGTTATGCATCTGTTATGAAGCGAAAGGATGGAGAGAAAGCCAAAGTTTTGATTTTAAAATTAAATCTATTGTGTTTCAGAAATGCAGCTAATCCATGCCAATGCCTGTTTGTGTGATTTGTAAGCTGTTACACTCCACTGTGTTATTGGAAGGGCTTTACACAAAAATGGGAGCATCTCACAACCAATCATTCCCTTAGCTTCTTTTTGGAAGTGTCTGTGGTGAAAAGGAATTTGAACAGAAGCTGGTGTTAATGCTTAAAATAAGGCTTTCTGTTAGTATGTGCTGCACAGATCCAACCTTGCTAACTGTAGTAAGAAATCTCAGTGACTTACACGTGTCTAGATTCTTGTAATTGCCAATGCCTGCCAGGAGAGACTGCCTGTGTCTTAAAATGCAACATTTGTTCCCCGCAGCACCTTCTTGTGGCAATTTTTCCATTCCAAACATGTTGGAGATCAACTGTCTTTCTAGTTAGTTTTGTACAGTTTCTGTCACTGCAGTACATATGTTCACAACTGGGTAGGTTTAACTGGTGACATACCATGTTCACTTCTGAGATGTGGTCGATGCTGGCTACTTCAATTGCGAGAGCAACATTAACAGGAGGACCTGAGAAAAAACGTTTTAATTTATATCATCAAAGTACCTATAAAAATATAGGTAGGGAAGAAGGATTGTAAGAAACATAAGAGAGATTATTCCCAAAGTCTCACCTCCAATCCCAGGCCTGAAGTTACGTGCATACCCTTTCATTAAATCATCCAGGTTGGGTAACCAGGATATTTCGATGTTGGAACCTATGTAATCTCCAATGTCAGTCATAGCTCTAGGTAAAGAGAATAAGTATCTTTTATAACTTGGCCATGTTCACAAACAGAAAACTAACAGAAAATGGGAGATATTGACTTCTTTTATACCAGAGATCACCTACAGTATGGCCAGCATATAGCTGTATATAGATAGGAAAACCATGTCAGACACTTCAAATCAAAACGTATTTCAGGCAAGTCTATGGCCTTTCTGAAAGACAAGCACACACTTTTTAAGCTTTATTTCTTTAAAAAAAAAAAAAAGTAGGCAGAAAATAGATTTAGAAATGTAAAGAAAGCATGAGGGAAACCAATATACTTTGTATACTGTATAAAATGCATCTGTGGATGATGAAATGCATCTATCTGGGTAGCAGTTTACAGCAGCTGTGACAGCTCTTAGTACAGCTATGGAACAGCTGAGTTCAAGAGGGCTGGTAATTCATCAAATGTGATGGGTAAACAGTAAAAATTACACACCTGGAGTTTGGATTTAACATATTTGACTTTGTGAAAAGGACCACTGGGCCTCAGGAATGTGAAAAGTAATGCTAATACCTGAAAACTGAAAATACATGGTCAAGAAGGAGAATTTTTTAAATTGAGGCCTTGGCAGATTAAGGAACATGAGACAACGTTGAAATTATTTTGTTTAAAAATGTAATTAATTTTAATTTGAAAGCTTCAGCCATAGATATGTAATGGTAATTCCTATTCAGTAAAACACATAAGCTCCTCTTATAGGTAAAGAATGATACTTTATGTCTTTTCCTAGTTAAAATAAATAACTCCAATACACTTGCATGAATATACCTGCCTAAAAATCTCTTTGTTTTTCAGTAGAAGATGGTGTTTTTCAACTCCTGTTGCTAAAACTGCAGCCAAGTTTTATAAAGTGTTTTGAAAACAATGCTCAAGTCAGAAGGTGACTCCCCTGTAGCGCCCTACCTCGTGCCTACGTACACAGTAGTACAGAAGTGCCTAGGTACAAGTAGTAAAATTAGAATCCCATGAGTATTTATGAGTACTTATCATGAGAAAAAGAATAAACCCAAATTCTGCTGCTCCCCTTTCACAACAGGTATTGCTACTTGTGTGCATCAGGAACTCACCCCCAGATAACTGACTCAAAATCAATCACTCGCTGTAACAGAAGTAATGTCATTGTAAGAACTGCCAGGAGCCTTGTCTGTTTTGTAAAAGCATTTACAGTACATGCAGCAGTTATCCCGTGTTAGTATTCTATTTTAATGGCATCAAGGAGAGACATAGAGCTAAAAGGAAGCTAAAATGACAAGTGGTGGGTTAAAAACGGTGGGTTGTAGCTTGCCATGTGCTCTACACAGATTACAATCTAGAGGGAGTTTTACTTAAATATCCATGACACAATTAAAAAGAATCTTGCTTCTATTATTAATAAAGCCTTAGGGTCAGATCATCAGTGTACAAATGTGTTGAGGTCAGTGAAGCTATATGCACTTAATACCAGCGGGAATTATTTAAGCATTACAGCTGAAATATTTTTATGGCTGGATTTACTTTGTTGATGTTTATACTACTGGTTCATTTTAAACTGCCTTTGAAATGGGCAATGAAATGTCTCTCCCTCAGTTACTGCCACTCTCACACAGTAGCGTGGCACTCACAAAATGGCTTCTAGATACTCAAAGAGAATATGTGAGACTGAGTAACCTACAGTTTCTCTTACAGACAGTTATCACTGAGTTACCAAAAGCTTTTGCTAATATTAGGCTTTTTTCATGCAGTTGATTAAGGGGCTGAACATCTGTCATAAGGAAAAGCTGGAGAGCTGGGACTGGAGAAGACTCAGGGGGATCTTATCAATGTATGTAAATACACAAAGGGAGGGTGTAAAGCAGGCAGAGCCAGGCTCTTTGCAGTGGTGCCCAGTGACAGGACCAGAGGCATAAACCGAAACACGAAGGTTCTGCTTGAATATCAGGAGACGCATTTTTTACTGTGAGGGTGCCTGATTGCAGGGACAAGTTGCCCAGAGAGATTGTGGTTGCCCTCCTTGGTGATATTTAGAAGCCATCTGAACGTGGTCCTGGGCAACTGGTTCTGGGTGGCCCTGCTTGAGCAGGGGTTGGACCAGAGCACCTCAAGCAGTCCTTTCCAGCCTCAACCATCTTGTGATCCCATGAACCTGTATTTTACCTTTAAACTGCCCCATAATCACATTAAACAGCCATATTCTTCAAATGACATTGTTAGACTAACACAGAGGCTGGTAGAGCAAGGGAAATAATACAGACACAAGAACTAATGTCCTAGCAGGGCTCTATGCTTGGGGGTGTGACACAGCATGGTATAAATGAGCCCAAGTTTTCCTTGTGTCAGTTTAGGTCTCAGGTCATACCAGGTCCTTCAGCACAGTAGAAATCTCCCATTCCCCTCGTTTTCGTCCCTCAGGAATATTGAGGGAGAAGAGAAATAGCAAACCCAAGAATATTATTCTATCTAAAGTATTTTCATTTCTTTTTTATCTGGTGATGACAAAAGTGTGGATATTAGCAGACAGTATTGCAGTCCTCAGTCACAAAGGATGGCTTTGGAAAGCAGAGCTTTATTTTTGTGATACTTCACAGGCCAGTTTGTGGAAACTCCTTTGGGCCATTCTTCTGGACTTCTGTACATCAGAACCAGCGCTTTCAATTTACATGAAAGATGGTGGGAGAATTCCATTCACCCTTGATAAGCAGTTGGGATTAAATAGGGCCTAAAATATTACTCATTTATGGTACCTGAAAAAGGAAGACCGGCATAAAAAATACACATTGGAAGAGATTAACTTTTCCAAGTGTAAGCAGTAAAGATGAAAAGAAACTATTAGTTGATTCAGCAACTTCACTTTCTGGCATAAGCTGCTGTAAAGCTTGTTTTAGTAAGAAAAGGGCTTTGTAAAATTAAGTTCTTGATTTGTAAAATTCAAGGGGCATAACAGCTCATCAAAAAGCTTATCTTTATTTTGCACCAGGCCAGAGAGGGGTGCTTGGCTGCCTGAATGACAACATAGTCATGTGTACTAATACCACTCTGGAAGTCATTCCCAAATTTAAAGCTGGATGTAAAACATCTTCTCCATGAAAAGCACAGTTAGTTCTCTTGCACACAAGCAAAGGGGAAAGGAAATCACTGATAAAGTGGGCCAACTATGAAGTTCTTTTTTGCCCAACAAATCTGTTCTTGACACAGGTTAGGGAAAGCGACTCCAAGCAATGAATCTCAAATGACAGAGCAAAGAAGCTCATCCTTTCAGAGCTATGTACTATCAGTTCTAGAATAAAAAGTATATCTAGCCCAAAATCCTTTCTGACCGAACTGACATCTTTCTCCCAGCTGCTGCAGGACCACTGCATTCTCCTGAAGCAGGGTGATCTGGAGGAGATAGACCAAACAACTTGGGCAGCACATCTTTAAAGCGTTTGTCAGTTCAGAACACTGCTTGAAAACAGTTGCTAGAAATATATCAATATTTCTAGAAAATCTCTGGTAAGTATTTAAATTACACCAAGGAAGGAGGCAATCTGTACGCTCTGTGTGAATGAGTGCACTGCAGCTGATAAACAAGACATAACATTAGCAATATTGGTTTTGCACAGCAGCGCCAAAAGCTCAGCAGCATCTTTAAGTCAGTGGCCAATGAGATACTGACTTTAGGTCACATTCCAGGGCGAGTACGCTAGCCTCTTGACAAATACATATAGCAGTAAGATGTGGAAAATCACTTTTTGCATCATCTGTTTCTTCTTTAAGTCTGCTAACCTGATTCTTCTGGGGACTGCGACATAGTTGCTATACGAGTCTTTAAACCTGGTGGATGGAAATACCGGTTTGACACTGAGGATGGGATGGACTATATTTAATTTTCTTTGAGATAATCTTTTGGGGGCGAATGTCCCAGATGTCATTGCCATGAAGGGAACTTTCTTGGGGGAAAAAAGACAAAGAATATCCTGCAAGGTCAGTGAACAATCTGGCCTCTGTCAAACTCCAGGATTATCCAGAGCAGTATGTGTATCCCTCCCATCTGCCATTCCTGACTCTAAGTGAAGCTCACTGTAAACCTTTTGTATTTCGAAATGTAATTGAAAAAGCATTAAGCTTAATTCATGGCAACCTTTTAAACATCAAAGCCCTATTTCCTCTCTGTGAGTTTTAAGCTACAGAAAATGGACCACTCTTTGCATACATTCATGTGCTAAAGCTGCTCTGTTTCCATGAATAGAAGTAAAAGACTGAGGGAGACACACCACAGAAGGACAATTATATGCAAATGTATAAAAGTCATTTAACATAGTAGAATCTTAAATATAAAAGATACACCTATTTTTAATTAGAGAATTAAAACCTCTTTCCATAAAGAATTGCAAAGCACAGACATACACTCCAAAACACCTATCAGTAGTACTCTCTCCCCATGCAAGTGAACCAATATTCCAAAGTGTATTTCAGCAGATGATCTCATTCACTGTGGCACATTTATTACTTCAGCATCCACAGTACACCAAACTGATAAAATAGGGAAAGCTCCAGTCTTTGCCCCAGCCACTAACCACTGTCTCAAGCAGACCAGAAAATACTACTTTTTTAAGAAGTTTACCTGAAAACAGCACTGGCATAAGCAGAATGTGCTGACTTAGGTAAAATCTGGCTCATTCACTTCAGTCAAACAGCACACATGACAGAGAAATTGCTTCAACTACAGCTCCTTAGAGCACCCCGAAAGGATACTCAAAACCGCTCTAAGGAAGTAGCTTCATGTTCAGCTCACTCCCCTCCTCTGCCAAAACAGAACATCGTTTTAAGAGCCCATTTTCCCTTTGGGAAGTCTTATGTCACACCACCAAGTTCAGTTCTTCCCTTTTCCAGTATGTTTTTGCTTACACCTGTCAGTATACAGTCCATAGAAATCACAAGCAGAGAATTTGGTGGGTTTGCAAGTCCTCTGTCATCCCAACCATGAATCATATTACATTTAGAACACAAAAGCAGAGCAATAGAATGTAGCTATTGGCAAGTTTGTCCTTTATTATAAAACTACAGTATTAATAAAATCTTGCTTTTCGTAAAAGCATCCCTTACCTAAACTAGTTACAGAATTAATTACAGAACTGCAGGGAAGAAGAATAAGGAAGATAATGTGCTGCTTGGGCCCTTCCAAGGGGAATTATTTCATAGGTCATCTGTGTGTGAGTAATTTTACTGATGTAAGGATAGAATTTTGGTTTTGTTCTGTTTAAGTCCTCCGAAGCACACATGCAGGTACTCACTTCTTACAAGATTAAACAGTGTTCTGCCATAGCCATTCTAAATCCAGAATCTTCAGAAAACTTGTACTGAACAGACCAACTCTCTTTGACCACTGAATCTCTCACAATTTGGCATACTTGGAAAACTACCACAAACGGAACAGTCGGAATTTCACAAGGTATAATTTGCCTTGCCCTGCCTTGCTCTCTGCCACATGTATATGTATTTCTAACAAACAGCTCATCACTGTTGTGTAACTGGAGGAAGAAAGTCCAGTAACTAGGTAATTAATCCAACTGTAAAGTCATTTATCCAACAAATTACAGGCTGCACAGATCCTGGCAGTTGCTGTGCCTAAGAACAAAGACAGAGACTGACTTCCTTAAAATTCTTTCTTCTCTTATACTCAAACACCACTTTTCAGCCTAAATACTTAATGCTAGCCCAAGCACAGATAGAGACAGGATCACTGACATTATGGGCAAGATCTTGATGCCCTTAGGTCACAAGCAGTATGTTCTCTGCCTTGATTGCTTCAGAGCTCTACAGTGTCAGCATCTGGCCCTGGGTAACAGCCTCAAGGTCACGAGATAAATCATTATGTCAGTCCTGAATAAGAGCAGTTGACTTGGCACTTCCTCTAATGCCAGATCCTTTTCCTTCCCAGGAAAAAAAAAAAAAAATCAGATCTCACTAATTATTTCCAAAACCTATCACAGCAATGTTATGTCTTACTACAGTTATCACTTTGCTTCTTACACTCCTCCAAAGGTATCCGTAATGCCTGCGAAGTCAAAGCAGGAAGAGTGATGTAGACATGGGTTTTTTTACATACAGCAAGTTCTTTTTCACTCCCCCTTCTATTTCCATTGCATAATCATGGCAAGCTTTCTCCACATCCAGCCTCCAGATCTGGAGAGCATATAGAGAGCGCATAGCTGGTTGCCTAGCTAACACCTCCCGAAGAAATGTGACTATGAATTGCAAACATAGATCTTTACAATTTGTTATTTTAAGAAATGGTTGGCGTTCTTCAGACGTCTTTTTCTAAGATCTCTGCCAGTCTCTTCCTCTCATCTCAAGTTCAGGAGTCTTAACGAACCCATTAGAAAGGAATGTCTCTACCTGGGGGTTTTAATTACACCTATGGAGGCCCCAAGCAAAGATGTTCAGTTCGTACCCCACTGGTTGTGCTGGATTTATGGAAGAGTTTCTCATTCAAGCAGGCCCCCTACAGAGCTGTTACGGGGATGAGGCTGCTCTGGGATATGCAATACCCTTACAAAAAGTGATTGCCCCCAATTTAGGGCAAGTGCCCTCGGGAAAAGGCTTCTACAGGCATCCTGCTAAAAACACACCCCTGAATTAACCCAAGGAACTGCTTCTCAGTTGGCAGAAGCGCATCCTCTGCTAGAAGAAGGATGAAAAAACCCCAAACAAACAACAAACCCAAGATGGGGCACACTGAGGAAACTCTTCAGTCAAGCCCCTTTTCTCCTGAGCTGTCACTCGCGCCAG